TATCCCCCCCCCCCCCATTATACCAATTTGTACTCTCACAATACAGTGGCCTCTTTCTCACAGTGTTACCAACAATATTCCCCCACCATTCTCAGTTCCTAACTTTAATGAAATAAGAGTGTTTGTAAGGGAAGGAGTCAAAACTAATTTTGAAAATTACTTAGGTCTAAGTGCATGGAGAGGAAACAACTTAGGGGCATGCTAAATGCTGGGACTGAAGAGGTTAGAGAAACAGACTCGTGGCCCTAGACCTCGCGGAGCTTACAGTCCATGAAGTGCTCTCCAACAGAATTACAACGTGAGCTACAAATGCAATTAAAATTTCTCTAGTGGCCACATTGAAAGTGTAAAAAGAAACAAGTAAAATTTTTGAAGAGATAAATTTAAAAATATATTTTATTTAACCTAAATATCTGAAGTATTATTATTTCAACACCAAGCCAAGAGAAAAAAAATATTGAGGTAGCTTATATTCATTTTTTTAAATTCAAAGTCCCATGTGAATTTTACACTGATAGAAAATTCCAATTCAAAAAATAACACATTTAGATGTCAACTTTTAAAAAAAATAAATCCCAATTCAGATTAGTCACATTTCAAGTGCGCAACAGGCACATGTGGCGAATGGCTATCGTGTTATAGGCCATAACTCTAATGCAATGCTTTTTAACTATGAGCTGGCATCCATTATCGGGTAATGTAATCATGGGGGCGGGGGAGTGAGGTAGGGGGCAGTCCCAGCCAGCACTATGACGACAACAACAACAAAAAGCCCAATAGGCAGCTCCTTGCTATAGTGGCTGAAACAGCTATTAAATCTCCAACATCAGTCAGCAGGTCTCCTAGGAGCTAATCAGGAAAACGCTGGATTGGTTTTCATCTAGAAAGTTGAAGAAAAGCTATCTGCTCAGGAAGTTTCTTGATTCTTTCTGTATGTGGAGATAGCTGAGGAAGGCTGGTCTGAGAACAGGATTCACTGGACCAGGAGACAAAACGACCGGGTTCTCGTTACCAATTTCCCCCACATTAGCTGGGACAACCCAGTCAGGTTGTCTCAGTGCCAATATTACCTACAAATTGATTCTCAAGGAGGAACACACGAGACTGAGTATGCCTGTGCTTGACAGAGAGTAATGTGTTAATTCAGTGGAGTATATACTCGGAGCATCACTAACCTACAGGAAATAAATGTCTTTTTCTTATCAGGATTCAGAGAAGATGTGCATTGAAATTGTCAGCCTGGCCTTCTTCTCAGAAGCTGAAGTGATGTCTGATGAGAACATAAAACAGGTGTATGTGGAGTACAAGTTCCACGATCTACCCTTGTCAGAGACCGAAACGCCTGTGTCCCTGAGGAAACCGAGGGCAGGAGAAGAGATCCACTTCCACTTTAGCAAGGGTGAGGCAGCCCCCGCAGGCAGTGGGGAGAGCGGGCCGACAGACGTTTAGACTGAGGGGGCAGAACTACTCTGGACTTCTGATGGGGCGGATCCAACCCTTTCTCTTTTATTTATCAAAATAGTATATGCATGCGGTTTGAAAATATCAGATAGCCTTAAAAGGTTTTGAAGTAAAAGTAAACAGTCCTTTGCCCCTCCCCTTCTCCCAAAATCACTCCCGTGCCCCTTCTGTCATCCCTCAGTCCACTGTACCACTTTTCCCCTTGTCTGTTATTTCCTGTTATCTAACTCCATATTTCTGAGTAATGTTTTATTGCAATTTCCTGATTCACCAACTTTAGAGATTATCTGCTGAGTTTCTATCTTAGAACATAAAATTTCTTTCACACCACCCCCATGTTCACTTCCCCCTTTAGATGGATCACAATTTTTATTTAATCTAATCTTAATTGTATCTATTATTATAGATATGTAAATATTAATTCTTACAGAGCCAAGGAGATTAGTACACCATGATATTTCCTTTCTTGTTTACATTTTTTGCTTGCCTCAATTTAAAAAAAATGTTTTTACTGAGTTCAGAGAGGAATAGAGAGGGAGGGAGAGATAGAAATATCAATGATGAGAGAGAATAATTGATTGCTGCCTCCTGCACACTCCACAATGGGGGTTGAGCCCGCAACCTGGGCATGTGCCCTGACCGAATCGAACCGTGACCTCCTAGATCCTAGGTCAAGGCTCTATTCACTGAGCCACGCCGGCCTGTCTGAAAACTTTTGGCTGGCGGGGGCGGGGGGAGCAGGTGAAAACATTTTTAAAAAATGTTTTAAAATTCGTTTTTAGAGAGAGAAGAAGGGAGAAGGGAGAGAGAGAAACATAGATGTGAGTGAAACACCCATTAGCTGCCTCCTGCATGCCCCCCAGTAAGGATCAAGACCCATCCTGAACTGGCAACCTTTCAGTGCACAGGCTGATGCCCAACCCACTGAGCCACAATGGCCAGGGCTGAAAACATTTTTATTGAGAATTTAAAAGCTTTTGGTCCACGGTTCTCTAGATCCAGGCCAGGAGTGAAATCTGTTTATGAAAACTATCCCCTTCCTCCCCAGAAGTTTTTAACATTTTCTCTTTATTGCTAGTGTTCTTAAATTGCAGTAATGTGCATATTTTTTTCTTAAATTGTTCTGGACATATTGTGGGCTATTTCAATCTGGAAGCTCATAACTTTTAGTCCTGGGAAGTATTATTTCATTTCTTTGATAATTTTGTCTCTAACATTTTCTTATTTTGTTTTAGTAGAATTTTGATCTTCCACATTAATCCTCTAATTTTGTAATTTTTCTCCTAATTCTACCTCTGTTTTTTCTTTCAATTTTTGGGAGATTTCCTTCATTTTATCTTCCAGTCATCGACTAAATATTTTAAATTTCTAAGAGCTATTTCTTGTTTTCTATACCATTAAAAAAAAAGTATAGCCCCTCTTTATAACATATCAGATAGAAGTTTATTTCTCACTGCGTTAAATGATTTCAGAGGTGGGCAGTTCAGGACTGAGGCTCCATGATACCATCAAGGTCCAAACTTCTATCTTGCCTTCCCACCATCCAAGTGTCTGTCTTGCATCCTTTTAGTTGCTCAGTTACACCATGGTCCTTAATGGCTGCAGGGGAAAGGAAGAATGCCCCCTTCTGAGCCTATTCCTCAGGTTCCATTTGACATAATGGCTAGCATTTAATCATGTGGCCAACCCTAGCTACAGTAGAGGCTGGAAAACATAGGTCAGTTTATTGGAGACTGCAGCATTCTTATATGAAAATGAGGAGGGAGGGAGAAAGGGATGTTGAAACAAGCATCTTAAGTTGAACTGCCACAAAACCCACATCTCTAGGTGCCCCCCAAAAAGTGCCTCCTAGAATTCTTCACCGGTGAAGTGGTAAGGGCACATCTATCTTGCCATGTGGCAGAATAACTTTCATTTAGATTGTAAGGCTTCCTTTATATCAGAGATTGACAAACTTTTTCTTAAAGGGCCAGATAGTAAATATTTTAGGCTTTGTGAGCCAAACTGTCTACTCTATTACAACAATTCAACTCTATCATTGTAGTTGGAAAGAAGCCACAGATAATCTATATATATAAAAGGCTAACATGCTAAGTGTCCCTCCCACCATCTGACCATCGCTATGATGCACACTGACCACCAGGGGGCAGACGCTCAACGCAGGAGCTGCAGTGACTTGGCAGCAGCGGTTCTCGGGTGACACACCCCAAAACCAGAGAGGAGGGAGCCCAATTCCTCATGGGGCCGTGTGATTCCACCTTTTGGCCGTGGGTTATGTTGTTGCTGGGGCACTGTCGGCCCCGAATCTGGTTTACTGCACACTTGCGTTTGTGTTCCACACCCTGTACGACAGCAACTTTGCAGAGTGCCCTCTTGCACTCTGGGACCCCTTGGGGGATGTGGGAGAGCCGGTTTCAGCCTGATCCCTGCAGGCCAGGCTGAGGGACCCCACCTGCCGGAGGGACTTCGAGCCACAGTGCCACCCCAGGTGTGGCTGGTCGGGAAGGGGCTGCAGGAGGTTGGCTCCAGGGCATGTCTGGCCCATTTCACCCAGTCCCACCCCGCCGGCCACCTTCTAATTAATTTCCTTTCAATGTGCACGAATCTGTGCATATTACATACCAGGTCACTAGTATGTAAATAATAGGTGTGGCCCAGCCAGTATAGCTCTGCAGTTGAGAGGAGACCCATGAACCAAGACTCGCTGGTTGATTCCAGGTCAGGTTGCAGGCTCAATCCCCAGGAGGGGGCGTGCAAGGAGGCAGCAGATTGATGATGTTTCTCTCTCAAGGATGTTTCTATCCCTCTTCCTTCCTTTCTCTCCAAAAAATCAACTAAAAAATATTTAAAATAAATAAATAAATAATAGGCATGGCTGGGTTCAATAAAACTTTATAAAACTGGGTGGCCAGCCCATGGGCCCTACTTTTCCAAACCCTGTTTTATATGTACCACTTAAGAAAATCTTGGTGCCCAAATAGCAAAGGGTATATGATTTCTTGTTCTTTTCCCTCTTACCCTAATATAGTGATAGACCTGGACCGCCTGGAGCAAAAAGGCCGAAGGCAATTTCTGTTTGACATGCTGAATGGACAAGGTCCTGAGCAAGGACGGTAAGCATTTACTCTCCACTTTGAAACAAAGGAGATATTCACCTGAGAATCCAAGAGTTTTAGTTTGGTTTTGTGCTGATATTGAATATGTTAACTACTTCTTTTATATTGATTTACCCTTAATGAATTTCTCATCTACTTGAGTCTAATTTATGTTCATGGCTAACTGTCTGATAAAATATATAATCTCGTAGATTTAGTTCACTTCCCATGCTATACCAGCTTCTACGTGCGTTTTTGTGTGTGGGGTTGTTTGTGTGTGTGTGTGTGTGTGTGTTTTAGGCAGCAATTTACTTAATACTGACAGTACCCTGTATGGAATGGACAAATGCTTCAATATTTTGAGATAATTAGATTCATTTTGCATAAACACAGTACCATTAGTACCTTACCAAATATTATGGCGTTATAATATTAATTTTGTTTGATTTTAAATATTTATTTGCAGGAAATACTTTGATATAACTGACGTTAATTCTAGATCTACTATAAGTTTTAGGAAAGCCAATCGTCATTATTCCTGTCATCTGAGGAGGTCTCCTTTTAGAGGTTCCAGATGAAACATATGGGATATACCTATACTTAAAAAAATTATTCATTGTTTAGCTGAAATTTGAAATTCAAATTTAAGTAAGCATATGTTTGGGGTTTCTTTCTTTTCTTTTCTTTTGCAAAATCTGCCAACCCTAATTCCTTAATGTGTATGTGGGTAAGAAATAAGATAGGGCCAGTGTTTTATTATCTAAAAGCCCAATACATTTATTTAATTTGCATTTACTTTGTCTCCAGTTAGTCATAGAGAGACCTGAGAAAGGAGGCAGCTGAAATAAAGAGTGAATCTGACTTCAGTATCACAATGGACTTTTGAAATAGATAAAAGCTTACTGATAACTTTTGGGAATGAAAAGTGATTTGGTTGTTTCTGCATTCATGTTAAATTTGGCTTTTTCTTTTCTTCTTTCAGCATTCCTAGAGCTCTCTTTTCCTTTACTTCCTTATACTGGTCACACTTTTCTCTTTTCTTTCCTTTTTGCAACCTTCTACTCAATTTCAGAGTTCAGTTTATTTTTACTTTCTTTTGCCAGTATGGTACAAGGGACAGAACATTGTCTTTGTAATCAGACAGACCTGGTTTTGAGTCCTGACTCTTCCATTTACTATGACCTCTAAGTTATTACTTAACTTGAAGGCTACTGTGAGCATAAAATTGAAATAACATCATTTACCTAAAGCACTTGGTATTGTGTCCATCATGCAGTAATGACAGTTACCATCCCTTTCCTGGGAAAATTGGGATGGGGGAGTTGGTATTATCCCTTGCAGTTTTGAAGTTCTCAGTAACCATACAGAAACATAACCACAAATGAATATTGCTTACTGCGCTAAAAATGTATCATTTTCAGAATTCTTCTTTCAGCTTAGTTATCTTTAGCTGTAATTTTAAGAGCTTGAATTTTTAGTCCTATGCTTGTTCCTTTAGTACTATTAGCCACCAATGTTTGCTTTTTAAAAAATACATATTTTTATTAATTTCAGAGAAGGAGAGAGATAGAAACATCAATGATGAGAAAGAACCATTGATCAGCTGCCTCCTGCACGCCCCATGCTGGGGACTGAGCCCGCAACCAGGGCATGTGCCCTGACTGGGAATCGAACCATGATCACCTGGCTCATAGGTCGATGCTCAACCACTGAACCACGCTGGCTGGGCCAATGTTTGCTTTTAAAAATATATAGAATTATGCCCTGGCCGGTGTGGCTCAGTGGGGCTGAGTGTCGTTCCATGCACGTAAAGGTCATTGGTTCAACTTAGGCCAGGGCACACACCCAGGTTTCAGGTTTGATCCCTGGTGGGGAGGCAACTGATCAATGTTTCTCTCTCTCTCTCTCTCTCTCTCTCTCTCTCTCCTCCCTCCCTGTCTCTCTAAAATCAATAAAAACATTAAAGAGAAGTACAGGATTATGAAGTGTCCAGAATAGGCAAATCGAGAGACAGAAAGTAGATCAGTAGTCGCCATGAGCTGAGGGAGAGGGCAATAGAGAATGATTGCTTAATGGGTACAGGAGTTTTTGAGGGGGCGATGAACATGACCTGGAATTAGATAGTGGTGATGGTTGCACAAGATTGTGATGATACTAAGAAATACTGAATTGCACACTTTAAAATGGTTAAAATAATGAATTTATGGTCCTTGAGTTTTTCCTCAAAGAATTTAGTAGGTACCAGTCTCTGGAACTCAATTATCATTTTTTGCTAGGCTAAGTCAAGGTAGTAATAATTGTTGACTGTTTATCCTGGCTGGGTGGCTCAGTTGGTTGGAGTATCGTTTCGTATACCAAAAGGTCACGGGTTTGATTCTGGGTCAAGGCACATACCTAGGATGCAGGTTTAGTCCCTGGTTGGGGTGTACAAGAGGCAACCAATCGATGTTTCTCTCCCCCTCTCTCTCTCTTCCTCTCTCTAATGTCTATACTAGTAAACATATCCTTGGGTGAGGATTAAGAAATAGTAATTGTTGACTGCTCACTGCTTGTGAGGCACAGTGCTGTGTGCTTTATACTGTCATCTTTCAAGACGTACAGCTCTAAGGAATACACATTTTATATTCATTTTGCAATTCTGTATTTCTTCTGTTTCCTTTACTATGCTCGGGCTTGGTACCCAACTTTTATTTAGAAATTGAAAAACTTTTCTTCTAACTGCTCGTTTATTGTTTTTTGTGCAACTCCTCCACTGCCCATATCAAATCTTTCATCAAAATTGTAAACCAGCCCTAGCCAGTTTAGCTCAGTGGATAGAGTGTTGGCTTGCGAACTGAGGAGTCACGGGTTCGATTCCGGTAGAGGACACATGCCTGGGTTTCGGGCTCAATCCCTCGTGGGGGGTGTGCTGGAGGCAGCTGATCGATGATTCTCTCTCATCATTGATGTTTCTATCTCTTTCTATTCCTCTCCCTTCCTCTCTGAAATCAATAAAGATATTTTTTTTAAAAAAATTGTAAGCCATCTTTTAAGGAATTCTATCTCAACAGTTTTGAGACTTGATCAATTACATTATCTTGAGTTTATAGTTCCCTCTTGTCAAGGCCAGCTGTTAAATTTTTTAATATACTTTTAAAAATCCTCACCTGCAGATATCTCTTTAATGATATTTTTTAGAGGGAGAGGAAAGGAGAGAGAAAAACACACACACATGATGCCAGAGAGAAACATTGATCAGTTTCCAAATGAATTGGGGATTGAAGCTGCAACCTAGGCTGGGAATTGAACCGGCAACCTTTTGGTGTACAGGATGATGCTCCAATCAACTGAGCAAGCTGACCAGGACCCAGTTGTTACTTTAAATTATACCAATTCCTCACTCTTTTGCTGTTGTAATTAGACATTGTCTAATTTATGATTACTTTTAGCCTTATATATTTTTTAAGCCTTAGGGTATCAGCAGTGCTCAATTAAATGTACTTTTCCCCCCCTCAGTTTAAAGTTCACAGTGGTAAGTGACCCTATGGATGAGGAAAAGAATGAATGTCAAGAAGTAGGATATGCATATCTGAAACTGTGGCAGATCATGGAATCAGGAAGAGACATTATAGAGCAAAAGCTAGACAGTGAGTAATCAATTTTTGTGCTCCTCAGTTCCATTTATTTCTGAGCAAGTCATCGTAATAATGAATACTTTTCCTGTTTTACCTTCAATACACAATTACTGTTACAAAGTTTATGAGACAAATTGGATCAAAATCCCTATAGCTCTACTTACTTCTAGATCAAGCCTGAGCGTAGTCAGTTGTCGACTTTATTTTTTAAAATTTTTATACCTTTCTAGCTGTCGATTTTAGTTCATATACCTCTTGATTATTAGAATCTACTATGATTCTCCAATGTTTGAGATAGGAAGTTTGAAAAGACAAGTTCTTTTAATTTTAATCAAATTTAAACGCCAGAATTTCTGACCTCTCTGAAGCATATGAAGTTTGTAAAGGCAGCTAATACCCCTTCTCTTTTAATGCCTTATCATGCACCCAGTTTCTTAGACACCAACTTTCTACTTCCCTCACCTCTCACAATATTGGTGACCAAGTCTTATCCATTCTACTTCAGAAGTGTCTTGACTACATTACAACTGCTATACTAGTTTTCTGAACTGGTCTCCCTGTCACTGGTTTCTTCAACCCATATCCATCTACTACAGTGTTTCTATACATTTGCTAACCACATTCTTCTTAAGTCTGTTTTTAAGACTCTTTGCTATAAGGCCAACGCGTCTTAACAATATTTGCATTTGAATGCCTTTAGGTGGGCCTGTCCAGTCCTCTGTTCCCTGTTACCATATACAGCTGGGACTTCACACATTTACCTTAGCTGCTAGGCTGTAGTAGGCATTTACTATTCACCAGACTAATGGTTTTTGAACTTTCTGTCATAACCCATTAGTGGATGGTGAAATTAAATTAGTAAGTCAGATTTTGAAGACAAAGACACACACCAGAAAACTGTAGAAAAGAAGGTATCAGAGTACATTGCACAGAGTAAATATCTTGTGAAACTAGGCTTATGTACATGTTTGAGTCATGATATAAATTTTTTACTAATTATAAGAAATTTTGAGAACTCTTCAGACCAAGGGTTACAAAGTTCAAACTTTCACTGGTAGACAAGATTCTTCATTATATTCCACTAGTTAACTGTAATCTTGGGCAAATTATTTAACACTCTGTGCTTATTTCAACTATTGGAAAAATAGTTCCTATTTCATAGTGTTGTCATGAGGATTAAGGGAGTTAAGTGAAGGATTAAGTAAAGTGCTTAGGACATGGCAAGTGCCCTGTTAGCTGTTTTCCAACTGTCACTCCCAATTTCTATTCCTGTCCCATTTCCTGCACGTGCCATACTCTTCCTGACCTCCTTGCCCTTTGCACATAAGGGAAATCCTCTAGAGCAGTGGTTCTCAACCTTGCTAATGCCGCGACCCTTTAATACAGTTCCTCATGTGGTGGTGACCCCCAACCATAAAATTATTTTCATTGCTACTTCATAACTGTAATTTTGCTACTGTTATGAATCATAATGTAAATATCTGATATGCAGGATGTATTTTCATTGTTACAAATTGAACATAATTAAAGCAGTGATTAATCACAAAAACAATATGTAATTATATATGTGTTTTTCCGATGGTCTTAGGCGACCCCTGTGAAAGGGTCATTCGACCCCCAAAGGGGTCGCGACCCACAGGTTGAGAACCGCTGCTCTAGAGCTTTTTCTAGTGACTTCAAAAATCCCTAAAGCCAATGAATGTTTCTCAATTTTTTTAACAATAAAAAACTTATAGTAATTTCCTTTTTATTGCCTCCCTTCCATTCAGGCTTCAAAACTCTGTAGCTATATATTCTATCACTTCAAAACTCAGCTCCTTGAAATATTTGGTCAGTCCACAATAACTTATTTTGGCGCCTCCTATCTTCCTCAATTAAGATGAAGTTTCTATCCAAACACTTTGCACTTTGCTTTTACCAATTTTCCTTATTGCCAAGTCCAATTGGTTTTCTTAGTCATCCTACTAGACCCCTGGTCGGCAACCTGCGGCTCGAGAGCCACACACGGCTCTTTAGCCCCTTGAGTGTGGCTCTTCCACAAAATACCGACTTCTGTGCATGGGCCACGAAGTTTCAGTCGCACTGTATGTGCACGCTCGCACGTGGTATTTTGTGGAAGAGCCACACTCAAGGGGCCAAAGAGCCACATGTGGCTCGCGAGCTGCAGTTTGCCGACCACTGTACTAGACCTTTCTCATTCTCGTTTTTAAACTCTTCTCCCTTGGTTTTTAGGCCAGTTTGACTGTCCATATCACTCGCTAGGGGATCCTTGTTTATCTTGTAGGTTCTTCATCCTGAGTTTGAATGGTGGGTTCCCCTGGTTCAATTCTTGGCCTTTTTTCTTCATATACCCTTTTCCTACATGTTTGCATCCACTCTTAGGATTTTAATTAGAACCTAGAAATGATCTCAGATCTAGGTTTCTAGACCAGATTTTTAATACAATTTAGCTTACAGCAACTAAGTCACTACTTGTATGCCCTTAGTACAGCCCCACCCCCACTACAACCTTGTACCTTATGTTCCCTCTTACCCAAATAAGAATGGTCATCTTTGATTCCAACCTTCTTCTCACTCCCAACATTCAATCACAAAATTCTATTTTACCTCTTTAAATATTCTGAATGTCCCCATCTTCATACCCTCATTGTTGTACGTCAGACCCCTTCATTTCTCCCCTGAATTAGTGAAACAGCCCAACTACCCTTCCTGATGTATTTGTATCCCCTTTGAATATATTACCCAATATTGGAGTTACTTTTCTAGAACCCAAATAAAAACTGTCACTAATAACTACAGTGAAAACCAAATTATTTTCAAGACAAATAAGACCTTTTATGATCTGGCCCCTGCTTATCTGCATAGCCTTCATTTCTGCCACTCCTTGCAATTTTCTAAACTTGTCATGTTCTCATGTCTTGGCATAAGCTTAGGTATCTTTTACTTTTTTAAAAAGACTCAGTTTAGGGATTGTCTTCAGAAAGCCTTTTCCAATTTCTCCATCCTGATTAGGTGCCACTTCTGTGTTCCCAAAGCACCTTGTTTTCATCATAGCACTTACCACACTATATCTGTTTTCCTTTGTCTTCCATTCAACTGAGTCCCCCTAAGAAATGAAGTAACTTAGTATCCCTAGCACCCAATGTTTGTTAATGGAATGCTGCTGCTGCCTGATCGACTTTCTTTTTCCTTTCCCAACAGTTGTTAGCCCTACAGACCAGGCTACCCCAATAGGAAGTCTGAAGGTGTCCCTTCAAGCTGTTGCTGCCTTCCATGCTATTCACAAGGAGATGACCGAAGATTTGTTTTCGTGATAGAACAAGGGCTATTCCATTCTAAACTCTGTGAGGGAACCATAGTAAAAAAGTCTCTTATAAAGTAACTTGCTAATCCATAAGTTTGGTTTACTGTGATGTCTAGCTCATATCTCTCAATCTGATCATAAAAGCTTAGAATATGAAAGTTTGTTTTCCTGATACTAGCTGGACAAAATCATTATTTTCTAACGCCTCAGCACTTTACCAAGCGAGCAGGCTTGCTTTTAGGAACTGCAAAAAAAACTATCACAGAAGCTGAATTTACAAAAACAAAACAACAACAAAAAAAACCCACAGTTTATTTATCTTTTAGTTCTTCCAAAATTGAAAATATCAAGTCCTACTGCTAAAGAGAAAAAAACAAACAAAATCTGAGACCCCTCCCCCCTCCTCTCTTAAAGTCACAAAACACAGAATTAACTGCAGTGGAACAGGTGGGTGCAGAGAACCAGGAGGGGGAGTATGGCAAGATAAACTCCCCAAATACTTAAAAAGCTGTTCAACAGAAACTGTGATAAATACAGGACAATGCAAGACAAGTAAAAATAAGGAGCAGCAGTGATGAGTTTTTTTTGCCTTGTAGAAGTGACCTCCCTTCTTCTTTTCTCTTCTCATCAGGGTATTCTAGGCCCAAGGTATGACTATTGCCCCTTCCAGATCTAAATGTTGATTCCTTAATAATGAGCCTCCTTCTGGATTTTACTAGAAGCAGTACATGAGGCACGACTGTTCTTACTCAGGTATATCACAAAATAAACAATGGTAATTTTGTTTCTACCAATATACCACGTGTGAATTTGAAAGGATGAAACCAAGCCCTGGAGCGTCGCTGCTTCTTATGTCTTCCAAGGCAGCAGATACCCCAGAATCTGCATGAGGCAAGGAAGCAGGAAAACTCAGACGGAGGTACCAGCCTGATCTGCCTTATTAGCTCAAGTTGTATGGTTTATCACAATCATTAGCAAATTCCAAGAACCTGTCTGTTCTTGAGTACTGCAAAGATGCAACTTAAAGAGATGTGAGGAAGGTCATGGCTGTAGGGTAGGATGGTGGATCGAATCTGCTGGTCAAGAACCATGGTGCAAGTAGTTATTCACCTTGTACTAACATCTTGGAAATATACTTTGAGACATCAAAGAATAAGATGTCAGAAGCCACTGACGTCCTGGCAGAAGGTGACAGGAAGAGAGGAATGAAATGGTATTAACAGCGGAAGCCTCTGCCCTTCTTCAAGAACACCTCCTGCCTTGCCATCTGGATGGGGCCATTGGCACGTGTCCTGGTGGGCCTGGAATTCCCCGAGTAGATTGGTCCACACAAATGGCCCCCTAAACCCATAAACACAAATGGCAAAACTTCAAAAGAAAAAAGGAAAAATACAGTTTCTGTCATGTAAAATTTTCAGGGGTTGGCTACAGGAAGAATGGAGCTGAGGGCCAAAGTTCAGGAGTTACTTCCTCTTTTTCTTGGGGGGTGCAGAGCTGTGTCTGGAACCACGGTTAGAGCCACGGCCTGAACTGTGCACAGACGCCTTCCTCTTCCGGCTCATACTTCGACTCTGTTCTTCTTCTTCCTCATAACGACTTTCACGGTCCGCTAAACAGAAGAGGTATTACTAGTTGGATATAGGTTAGCTTTAGTACCTAATACTACTGGATAGCATGGAATAGTACTGAGAATATAGTTTGGAGTTAGACCTTTTATTTATTTACTTTTATTTTTTTATTTTATTGATTTTTTACAGAGAGGAAGGGAGAGGGATAGAAAATTAGAAACACTGATCAGCTGCCTCCTGCACATCCCCTACTAGGGATGTACCCGCAACCAAGGTATATGCCCTTGACTGGAATTGAACCTGGGACCCTTCAGTCTATAGGCCGACGCTCTATCCACTGAGCCAAACCGGTTAGGGCTGGAGTTAGACCTTTTAATCTGGACTCAGTCACTTACCAGTTACGTGATCTTGACCAAGTACTTAATATTTTTGAGTCTTGGTTTATTTATAAACAAAGAAGGATTAAATATGGTAATTTATGCAAAGTTCTATCATAACTTTGGATATCATAATTTAGGATAGATATTTCCTTTCATCTATTTTTTCTTTTTAAGTTTTATTTATTGATTTTATAAAGAGAGGGAGGGAAGGAGAGAAACATTGATTTGTTTTTCTACATATTTATGAAGTCATTCGTTGCTTCTTGTATGTGCCTGGCCAGGGATTGAACCCACAACCTTGGTGTATCAGGAGGATGCTCTAACGAGCTACCCAGCCAGGGCATTTCCTTTTATGTTTAACTTATATTTGGCATTTGGCTTCAGAGTAATTAAACTGGCACTATAAAAATATTCCTAACCTGGGAGAGGCCTAAAAATTTAGACTATTATATAACTTAGATTTGGAAAATGAATAACCTAATTCTAGAGCCTTATGTGGCTATCATGACTATGGGTCCATTGGGGACTTGACAGATGAAAAAAGTATTCAATTAGGCAGTCATACCTCTCGGAGAATACAAATTACAGACCTTGTTTTCTCCCCTAGTTAAGGACTGAAATCTGTTAGAAATTTGTGTCTCAAAAAATAAAACAAACAAAAAAATTTACCTTTTCGGGCTTCTTCCTCTAGTTCATCCCAATCTTTTCCACTCTCTTCTTCACTGCCCAATGATTCCTTGGAATAGTCTGAAGAAAAAAAAAATGATTAGTAAGCATTAGTCATTATACTGGAATGGAATGGTAGAACTCTTCCCTTTTGCAAAAGTGGCTTCCAGAAATGGCATTAGATTAGAAAGCCACAGAAACTTTTCCTTGTAAAGACTAACCTGATTCTTCAGCTTCTGATGAATAATCTTCATCACTGTCCTCTTCTTCTTCTTCATAGTCATCCTCTGAAGGATTAAATGTCTCATCTTCGATTTCAGATTCTGAATCCCCTTCCTCAGCATCACTACCCTGATGAATTAGAGAAAAAAACCCAACACTATATACTGTTTTAATGGATACCCTAAATATATAATCCATATTTCTTCAAGTTTTACTTCATCTTTCCTTGCCCAGGTATATTAACTGCAGAAATACTCTTGGTAATAATGCATTATGCTGAGGTGGGAGGACCATTTTTTAGAGAACAATTTTTGAAAAATTTCCAACAGTTTTGATAATTTCAAGGAAATCTTGTCAGTGACTACAAATACCTAGTTAATTTATTGTTTACCTGTAAAACTAATTTGGAGAAATAATATCAGATGTGTTCAGAGATTTTCCCACTTAGTCTGGTCGTTTATGTGCTACTTCTCCTAACTGCCCAAATAACGGACAACTATTATGCAACAGAAAAGAAACCCCACACTCACGCACCTCACCCTCAGGCTCCAGGAAAGACCAGCCACCTTGTTCAAAGAAGCCCTCAGGGTCATCAACAATAGTCTTCATGATTTTAGTCCAGTTGAGGGACTGTACTCCTTCTGTATACTTTAGGTCACAGGAACTGAGAGAAATAATATTACAAAGTCAAAATCAATCCTCTATATTTTCTGAGAATATCCAGTTGTCAAACTGGTGATTATAATCTGAAGAGCAGTTAACCTTTTCTTAAATGAATGGGGAACAGGTATTCTTTGCACTGTGCCACCAGAACATGCCCAGATGGCTGATATTTGGTCTCCCAAAGCACTAACCCTCACATCAAAGCAGCATTCCAACTGCAGCAATCTCTGTCCCTGTCCCTCAACTAAACTAATCTAAGTTCACTTTCTTCTTTTCTATTTTCTTTAGGAAGGCAGAACCCATATAGAACTTGGAAGGCTGTTGGAGTTGAGAGTGAGAAAGAGAGAGAGAGGAGGATTTGGGGAAGCAGACAGCTAGAATGTGTGGGACAGAGTACTAGAGGGTAGAGTGATGGGAAAGCTCTGAAGATTTGCTGAGGATGGATCCCCTCAAATTCTATGGCTGAGGATCGATCTGCACAAACATGAGAGGAAACTAATTAGAACTGGGCAAAGAATCACAGAATTCCCAGATCGCACACAGAGGTGGAAATAATTCTCGTTCCCATCAGCTTTAGTGCAAAGACCTCAAAACACTCAGGGAATCGGGTAGAATCCTCAGAGTTGTTCTACCTCAGCAATGGGGCCAATTAGCCCCAGACTCAAGGCTGTACTGATCCAGCATTCATGACACTTTGTAAAGTGTCCAAGTCTTGAAAGATCAAATGGAATCTAAATAATTTAACTGTAGCTTAGAATAGAATCTAAAAAATTTGAAATAACAAAACTTAGCACCCAAAAATGTGGAGTCACAATGTATGGCAACCAATCACAAATTACCAGGCATGCAAAACAGGAGAAAAATCAACCAATGAAAACAGACCCAGAAAATACAAAGGTGATGAAGTAGCAAATAAAGATGTTAAAAAAGCAATGATAAATGTTCCATATGTTTAAGAAGAGGGAACCTTAAAGACAATGAGATGAAAAAATGAAATTTGTGTAATTACTCTCAGAAAAAAAAGCGGACTGAGGAAAGAGCAAAAATATTTAAAGATTCATGGTCAGAACATATCCAAATATGATGAAAACGACAAAGCCCATAGATCTAAGAAGCTCAATGCACACCAAACATTTGAATAATTATAATAAAGAAAACCATACCAAAACATCTGGTTATCAAAATGCTAAAACCAACCAGAAAAAAAAAACAACTTAAAGAAGCTCGAGAAAAAAAGACAGAGGAAAGAAGAATGATAGATATCTCATCAGAAACCCTTGAAAGCTAAAAGACAAGAAATAACATCTTAAATAGTAAAAGACCGTCAAATTAGAATTCTATATGCAGCAAAAACACCTTCCGAAAGTGAAATACTTTCAATAAGTTGAGGCAATTTACACAAAAAACCTGCACCTCAAATACTAAAAGTTTATGAGGCAAAGGAAAATTATAGCAGAAGGCTACAGATAGAAGGTTGGAACCACACAATGGCATGAAGAGCACTAGGTATGGTAGATATGAGTTATACAAAAGACTTTCCCCTCATTTTGTAAACTGAAAGGTAACTGTTTTAAAGCTAAAATAATGACAACAAATTGTGGAATTCATAACAGAAGTACAATATATGGCAATAGCAGAAAGGACAGAAGAGAAATTGAAGCATAAAAACCTTCCAACAGTAAAGATGTATTATCTGAAAGCAGATGGTGATAAGATGTATATGTAAACTTTAGAGTGATTATTATAAAAGTAAAACAAAGAGGCCCAGCCAGTGTGGCTTAGTGGTTGAGTGTTGACATATGAACCAGGAGGTCACAGTTCAATTCCTGGTCAGGGAACATGCCTAGGTTACGGGCTGAACCATGGGTGGGGGTGTGTGCAGGAGGCAGCTGATCAATGATTCTCATCATTGATGTTTCTATCTCTCTCTCCCTCTCACTTCCTCTCTGAAATCAAGAAAAATCCTATCTAATAATAGAGAAACATGGTAATTAGCCATATCTCTGCT